ACGGTGGCCTGTTTTGGAAGGAAGACCGAATCATGGTCCCAGAAGAGGTGCGAACCTTGGTCCTAGGGCATTGCCACGACCATCCAATGGCAGGTCACTTCGGGGTGACGAAGACTCTAGAACTGCTACGGCGCTCGTTCTGGTGGCCGGATATGATCAAGGATTGTGAGCGTTACGTCCGGACGTGTCCCACCTGTCAAAGGAACAAACCCTCCAGGAGTAGGGCATGGGGATTGTTACGTCCATTACCTATACCCAAGCGGGCCTGGCAAATGATAGCCATGGATTTTGTGGTCGAACTCCCACCATCCCAAGGCCACACAGCGATAATGGTGATCGTCGACCGCTTCTCGAAGATGGCGCATTTCGTGCCCCTGGAGAAGACCCCATCGGCACCGGAAACGGCACGGATCTTCATTCGGGAAGTGGTAAGGCTTCATGGAGTCCCCGAAGACATTGTGTCGGATCGGGGGGTGCAATTCACCTCCAGGTTCTGGAACGCCCTATGTAAAGCGCTGGGAATCAAGCTGTCGCTCTCATCCGCCTACCACCCGCAGACCAACGGTCAAACCGAGAGGACCAACCAAACGCTGGAACAGTATTTACGATGCTACACCTCCTATCTCCAGGATGACTGGCTGACGTTGTTGCCTTCTGCGGAGTTCTCATACAACAACTCAAGTCACTCAGCTACGGGTCAATCGCCATTCTTTTCTAATTACGGGTATCACCCCACATTCCTCCCTGATCTAATGCCTGAAAATCTGGTACCGGCGTCGCAGGACATCTTGAACTTCTTTTCCGTCAACAACAAGACTATTCAGGAAGCCATCGCTAAGGCCCAGGAGGACAGTAAGAAGGCTTTCGACAGAAAGAGAAGAGGAGATTTACTGCTTCAACCAGGAGATCTGGTTTGGCTGGCAACAGCCAACTTGAAGATGCTGTGCCCCTCAAAGAAGCTGGGACCCAAGTACATTGGCCCATTTCCTGTTAAACGAATGGTCAACGAGGTGGCCTACGAACTCGAGCTTCCGCAGACTTTCAAAATACATCCTGTGTTTCATGTGTATCTCTCCTGAAGCCGTCCAGACCGGATCCCTTCCCAGACCGAGAATCCAGACCTCCCGAGGCAATCGCCATAGGTGACCAGGAGGAATTTGAGGTGGAAGCTATCCTCAGTTGCCGAAGGAGGGGGGGCCAGACTCAGTTCCTGATAAAATGGAAGGGTTATGGTCCTGAGGAGAACTCCTGGGAACCCGCCCAGGACGTTCACGCGCCCAGGCTCATCCGGGAGTTTTTTCGTGCTCACCCGCGGTGGAGAGATCAGTGGGGCTCCCGGAGGTGCCCGTTGGGGGGGGGCAATGTCAGGGATCCCGGCTCCGTCTGCCGCAATCGCGGCTCTGTCCCCCGCGCATGCGCATTGGCGGCAGATCACGCCGGGACACAGGAACTAGGTCCCGGCGAGCCGCGGCTGACAGGACGCCGCGCATGCGCAGTAGAAAACCGCGGGCGCGCCTCAGGCGTCCAATGACAGCCGGGGGGGGCGCGTCCTAGCCAGCCAATGACAGTGCAGGGCGCACTATTTAAAGATGCCCTGCACTGTCACAAATTGCCGCAAGGTCTATGTGTGATCCTGAATACCTGCTCCTGCTGTGACCCTGTTTTTGACCCTGACTACGCTGCCTGCCCCTGAGATTGACCCGGCTTTGTTCTGACTATTCTACCCGCTCCTGTGATTGACCCGGCTTTGTTCTGACTATTCTGCCTGCTCCTGCGTTTTGACTCGGCTTATCCCGACTGTTCCTACGGATTGATTTACCCGGCTGACCCTGCGTGTGACCCGACTACTCCTAGCCCGCCGATTCGGTACCCCGCTTACCCCACGGGGCCACTATCCGTACCACCCTGCTGGGGCCGCCATCCTCTTCACAGCTGGCTCTCCTGGTACCTACATACATCCCCGGAGGCCTCCTCGGCCGCTGGTGGCCCGCTCAGAGGTCGTGACCTGGCCCGGGACTGTTTCAAGTCCATCCCCACCATCAGGGGCCCTGGTGAAAGCACAGCCCGGGCTTAGACCCCACGCTCTGGGTAGGTCTACCAGCTGGCAGACGGAGGGCTCCGCCTGGCGGATCCTAACATCCCGTTTGCGCCTCGAAGCTAGCTGAATAATATGATCTCGAAGAACAGCCTTGTAAGCTTCCCACAGTGTCACTGAAGAAGAGACAGACCCTGAGTTAAGCTGGAAATATTCTTGAGATTTGCGCAAAAGGTTCACCTGAACCTCTTTCAGCGAGAACAGGGAGTCATTCATAATGCAAGTAGTAGGAGTAGGAAGGCTTACAGAGGAGAGATCGACAGACCACCAAAATGGGGTCATGATCAGACCACGGTAATTGTGAGAATAGAAATGGAGTGCACGAGAGGGAGGTGTTTATGTAACACAAAAGCATGGTCAATTCTGGAGTGGGAGTGATGAGGGTAAGAGTAATGAGTGTAATCTTTCCCTCCAGGGTGGAGCTCACGCCATAAGTCCACCAAGTCATGAGTCCATAAAGTTTGAGCAAAGAATTTGGCTGCAGCAGAAGGATTAGATTCCTCTGGGGGATACTTATCAAGGGTAGGATTCAGAACTAAATTTGAATCCCCCGCTACCAGAAGAGTGACTCGTTGATGAATTGCCAAAAGGGAGCAGACATGTGATAAGAAAGGTCCAGGATTAATTTTGGGAGCATAGTAGGTCAAAAGTGTAACGTCTACATCCTGAATCGTACCCTGCAATAAAAGATACCTATCATTTGGGTCAGCAATACGCTTCACTCAAACAAATAGGGTTTTCTTATGGAAAGCAATGAGGACTCCCCTTTGTTTTGTAGGGCCAGTAGCCTAAAAAACCTGAGGATAGCGAGCATCAAAATACTTTGGGCTGGAGGTAGCAGAAAAATGAGTTTCCTGTGGGTAAGCTATATCCACATGGCGAGCCCGGAGGAACTTGAATATTTGCACCCTCTTTTCGGGGGAGATCATGCCATGAACATTCAAGGACAACCAAATCAGCGACATGGAAACTGAAAAAGAAGAGGATAGCCTCCGTCACGATCCCCGGGAACCCTGAAAAAGATTTGGTAAAAACACAAGATACACAAGACAATAGACCAGGAGGAGAAAAAAAAGGCAAGAAAGAAAAAAAAGAAGACAAGAAACAATCTTGTATACAAGCAATATATATTTGACACAATAAGATCAGCACAAATAACATAACAACCAGCTGTGGGGGGTAAACCCACATGTAGGCTGGGTAGCGGGCAGGACAACGGTCCAGTCCACACACCAGCTCGAAGGGGGACGCAGTAGTCCACCGGAACCACTTGGCTTATCTAAAACAGAAAATGATTTAGCAAACAACATAGGCTAAGTAACTCCACTATCTAATAATCATCAAATGGTGAATAAGGCCATATGAACTACAGTCAATGAGTGACACAGAGGCGGAAAAACCCCAGAATAACCATAAGCGCGAAACCGCTCACAGGTCTAGCCCAATAGGCAGGGTCACGCTCATAGCAGGAAATCCACCCCTGGTGCCACCCACTATCAACAACAAAAGTGGGGACTAAGCAGAGCTTGCATGTCCACAAGGGCTTAGGCCCCAATAAAAGAAGTAATGCATCATGTGACTACTCAGGAGCTGAAAACTAGCAAAAAAGAGCACTTAAGGGCAATGTCGCCAGTACTGCAAAAATGGAAAAAATTCAACAGGATACTCAATGTCAGCTCGCAAAGACTTCCTGGAAGCGTTGCGCCTGAAGAGATTGAAGAGTTTGAGAGCTGTTTTGACTTAAGGGAGATGACTTGCATGAAGATTGGGATCCCCATAAACGTGCAGGGATAGAGGCCTTCTCAACCTGGGATTGTGGCAAGTCAAGTTTCAGTTCCTGGAAGTGGCAACGGAGATCCGCAGGAGAAGATTCTTGGAACTGACAACCTTGATAGGAAAAAGAGAGCTTAAACGGGAAACCCCATCTGTATTTGATAGCAGTGGACTGTAGAATTTGTAGATAGGTCTTCAGGGTACGGCGTTTTGCTATTGTGACTGGAGACAAGTCAGCACACAGCTGGAGGGAACTACCCTGAAATTCCAGTGCTAGTCGGTTCTGAACCACCTGTAGGAGGCGCTCTTTAGTGTGGTAATAGTGGAACTTAATAATAATGTGTGGGTTTAGGGGCTAAAGCTCTGTGTATACAATCAAATTCCAAACGTTCCAGAGGGATCTCAGAAGCCAGTTCTTGAAAAAAGGCAGAAACAATTGAGTACTGACTTGATACTTTTTTATTTGCACTAACATACAGGACAAGCTTTCGGGGTATGTCCCCTTCTTCAAGGTCCAGGCAGTACTACTTCACAAAGTTTTAGCAGAATGTTAGAAGAGATGTTGAGAGGGGGAGAAAAAAAAATCCAGAAAGAAACACACACAAATGTACACAGCAATGGTTATAAGACTAGGATTAGACTAGAGATAAGACACAGCAAAGACTGGGGGGGGGGGTCTGTGCAAATTCATCCTAGTTTGCAACTTATGTCCTGTTTCGCCAACATAAGATCCTTTGCTACATTTTCTGCACTGGATAAGGTACACAACATTACTAGAAGTTCAGCTGTATGATCCGGAGATATTTAAGATCCCTTTTGAGTGTTTGACACTTTTTGATGGATTGATTTGGTTGCACAGTTTGCAGCATTTTTTTATTGCAGGGTTTGCTTCCATTATTTGTGACATCTTGATCAGAAGGAAGTTTCCTAGTTTATTTCTGAGGTTGGGGGGTTGTCTGAAAGCCAGTATTGGTGGTTGCTGGAATATTTCTTTCAGAGTTCCATCCTCTGCTATGATGGGTTGTAAATCTTTGATTATTTTCCTTATTCCTTCTAGTGCTGGGTTGTATGTGGTTACTACAGGTGCACGGTTGTTTATTTTTCTCTTTGTACTGAAGTAGATTTTCTCTTCGGTATCTCAAGGCTGTGTTTATGCTGGTGTTGATATTTTTGTCTTTGTAACCTTTCTTATGGAAGGAGTCTGCTAGTGTCCCGAGATGTTTATCTCTGTCTCTTGGGTCAGAACATACAGTATTCGGTGGAAGCAATTTGAATAGAATTATATGGTTACCGGCACAATATAGAGGATTGAAGGAAGATTTAAGTTTGTACACTGTAAATGTTTTAAGGGAATGGGACAAAATACACAAACATATGAAATGGGAATTTAACTCCATACTAATGCCAGTAAGAAATACAGATTTTTTTCCCCTAGGTAGAGAGGAGATCACAGGTAGTTGGTTCAAAAAGGAAGATGTACAACTAAGAGATATAATGGGGGAGAGGAAACTGAAGCCCTTTAAAGATTTGAAAAAGGGAAAGATCTTCACCAGGTTAGATGAGTGGCGTTATCACCAATTAAAATGTTTTTTGGGGAAAACTCCCAAAACCTTTGAGAATGAAAAAGGATTTGAATTTGTTTGAAAGGTTGTTGAATACACGGGGGGATGGGAAACACGGAACAGCCAAATTATATAGAATTCTTACAGAATTAGACACAAACACTAAAAACCAATGCACATAGTGAAATGGGAAAGAGATATGGGGGTGGTATTAGATGAAGAAAAACAAAGGAAAATAAATAGATTAGTTCACGAAAATGTAAGTCTGAGGGATGTAGAAATAAATTATAAATGTTTGACAAGATGGCACATTACACCGAGAGTAGAAAGTAAGATAAGTGGGGAGAAATCACAGTGGTGTTGGCGAGGGTGTGGGAAGTGGGGACAGTGTATCATATTTGGTGGGAATGTCCAAAAATTCAAATATTCTGGAAATCAATAATACATTTAATAGAGACAATTACTGAAATGAACATCGGGTTAGACCCAGGGATGTGTTTGTTGCACAGTTCAGAGTTATCAGTTAGCAAATACAAGAAATTAGGTTTAGGGTACTATATGAACGCTGCAAAAAGTCTGATCCCGAAGTATTGGAAGAAAATAGAAATACCGAAGGAGGAGGATTGGATAGAGAGAGTGAACTGGAGTAGTAAGATGGAGAAGCTATATTACACGCAGGGAGATAAGTTGGAGTCATATTCCGCGAAATGGGAAAAATGGGAAAAAATTTTGTAGAAAATATGAGAAAGTGAAATGTAGAATGCCATAGAATGAGTAGAGGGGTAGGATACGCTTGCTTTAGACAGAAGGCAGTGAAGAACGCAGAGTGGGGGGGGGGGGGGGGGGTAATGTTTTAAGAGGGGGAAAATAAAGAATAAGAAAGAAGTGTGTATTTATTATGAAAGAGATGAAAGTGTATTGTTATTTCTATGAAAAATCAATAAATATTTAAATTTAAAAAAAAAAGAACATATTTGGTGGTATCTAATGGCCTGACTGTGTATGATGGCACGTTTTGTGTGTTGGGGGTGGAAGCTGGAACTGTGGAGGTAGTTGCATCTGTCAGTGGGTTTCCTGTATATTGAGGTGTGAAGCTTATCATCCCTGATGTATACTGTAGTGTCTAGGAAATTGACGAGTGTGTTTGAGTATTCCATTTTTAGTTTGATTGATGGGTGAAAAGTGTTGATCAATGAGTAAAATTGTTTTAGGTTTTCTTCACCTTCTGTCCATATGATGAAAATATCATCAATATAGCGATAGTATCTGTATGGTTTTTGTTCCATGCTGTTCAGGAATTTTTCCTCCAGGTCAACCATAAATAAATTGGCATATTGGGGTGCCATTTTACATCCCATCGCAGTACCCATACATTGAAGATAGATGTCTTTATTCCCCCCTTTGAACATCTCTTCTAACATTCTGCTAAAACTTTTTGAAGTAGTACTGCCTGGACCATGAAAAAGGGCAGTAGCAGTGCCCTGTAAATCAGTTACCACTTCAGGGACCCCACAGATGCGGAGGTTATCTCTACGGGCCCTATTCTCTACATCTTCCAATTTTTGTGATTGGTCACAGCAGGTCACATGGTACTGGCAACGGGGCCAGTACACAGATCTGTCATTGGCCGTATCCGAGGTACACAGTCGGTGAAAAGTCTCGCCACAACGCGGCACTGCGGGCACGCGCAAAGCACGATCTGGAAAGGACGTCATATCATGCTCTCCAGGAGGGACGAGAGGTTTGACTATAGGCCGGGCGGGAAGTAGTTAATTTCACTACACAAGCAAGTGGCTGCTCTGGAGTCTGTCCTGCACAGAGATCTAGTTCCAGGATGAAGAATCCTCCCTAAGCAGCCTGGGAGTTTTATAAAGCCCAGAGTACTCAAGCAGCTGAGCTTGCTAACCCTTCAGTGAGCCAAACAAGCTCACCACACAGCACAAAAAGGAAAACAGTCTGTATACTGCTTAAATCTGGACAAATATATTTACCATTCTGGACAACCAGTAGTTTTTCTTGGCTTCCTGTCAATATATATATACTGCTCAAAAACAATAATGTTGCTTCAAACCACATAATGAAAGCTTCAACTCACGACATTGATCCCTGGACAGGAGGGCGGAGCCTGAACATGGCGGCAGGGGAGAGCTCAATGTAGGAGCTCGTGGACGGAGCTCCGCTGTCTGACCTCCCCAGGCCTCCAAGCTTATCCCCTGGGGCATGTTAGAGCCCTGCGGTGGGGGACTTACCCGGTCTGACGGCTCCCGGCGGAGGAGAGGCTGATGCGGGTGAGGAAGAGAGAGGAGCGGCTGGAGACTGGTGAAGAGAGAGTCCCTGGACGCTGGGAGACGATAGGGGCCGGAGCAATCACGTGACCGGCCGCAAGGCACCTCTGGGAGATCGAGAAGCCGGCCGGCCGGCGTTTTGCAGGGAGAGAGCAGCGCCGACCTGTTTTCCGGTGGCCGACACACTTTCCCCCTATCCCCCTAGTATCCCTGGAGCCTAATAGAAAGTGGAAGGAGAACCATCGAGACCTGGACAAGGAGTCTGAAGAGACCCTGGGGAGTTCCCCCCCATGAACAGACCCTCAGAGGAATCGAGTGAAAAGGCACTCATTGGAAGAAGACATAGAAGGAGGGTGAGTGACTATGAATAAAATGTGATTTGCATTTGAAGACCTATTGTGCTGACCTCCAAGAAATAGAGTGTATGTGAAAGGGGGGACCCCTGGAGACTGTATAAAAGGTGGAAGAGGCTTCTTCCAGAGAGAAGAAGAGAGGCTCAGGGGGAAGGAGGGGGAGAGGAGGGAAGGAAGAAGAGGAAGAAAAGAGAAAAGGAAAAACTAGCAAGGGGGAGAGGGCAGAGACTTGAAAGTTTAAAGAAATACTTTCCCACCCCACCCACGAACTTATAAAGGATTATAAGAAGGATAAGTGCCACAGAGAAAAATGAAAAACAAAAATGTAAAAGGAAGTGGGCTTAAAGGGTCCCAGACTGGCACAATTAAAAAATACACATCCCAAGGGAACGTAACCCCAGAAAGATCCCAGAGCAGATCTGAAAAAGGAGAAGCAGACCTTAGTATGGAAAGAAGCCCTAGAGTATCAATAGGCCCTGATACTAGTAATCAGCAAATATCAGGCAATACAGAGATGGAAAAAGATCTACAAATACCTAATAAAAGGAAATGGCAGAAATGTTTAAAGAACTGGAGAAAACAATAAAACAAGAAATGGTAAACATTCGCAGTGATCTGGGACACCTCTTGGAGAGAGTTGAGGAAACGGAGGAGAAAGTTAAAGGTCAGACCCAGGCTATCTCTGAACTTGAAAAAGAACTAACTAATATAGGGAAAGCCCAAGAAAAACTGTTATATAAGGCTGAGATACAAGAAAATAAAGACAGGAAGAGAAACATCTTGATACGTGGGGTCTCAGAAAACTTAAAGGGAGAAAGTCTGCAAGAGGTGGTTTGTAAAATATTTAACACTATAACAGACAGCTCTGAAATGGAAAAGTCCTAAAATAGAAGGAACCTTTAGAAAAGGAAAAATTCTGAGAAATCTGGGGAAAGAAAGGCCGAGAGATATAATTGTTAAATTCTATGAACTTCGGGATAAAGAAAAAATCTGGAAGAAGACTAAGGGAAAATCAGTAATTACCGTATTTTCCGGCGTATAAGACGACATTTTAACCCCTGGAAATCGTCTACAAAGTCGGGGGTCGTCTTATACGCGGGTGCTGTGCTGAAACCTTACCGTACTTCCGGGTTGACGCTACTGCGCATGTCTTCGGCAGCAGTAGAAACGATCGCGGATCACCGTAGCTCGCAGAACTGCATGAGACGTCGGATGCAGCAGTGCTCGATTGAGCTTGACTGAAACTGTGATATGCAGAGAAGGGATACACAGTGATTCTGCGCATGTCACAGTTTTCAGTCACGATCAATCGAGCACTGAACGGCTGCATCCGACGATCTCATGCAGTTCTGCGAGGAATGGTGATCAGTGATCGTCTACTGCTGCCCTAGACATGTGCAGAAGTGTCAGCTCGGAAGTACCGGTATGGTACTGCTGCATCCGACCTTGTCCCCTTAACTGCTATGAGATACGGTAATTATTAATATTATAATGTCCTGTTGCAGTTCTGTGTAAAAAATTTATGGGTATCTTGGAGACAGTCAGGGCTGGGTAGGAGGGAGAGGAGGTCCTCAGATCTTAAAAAAATATTCACAAGTTTCAGAAGAGTATCAGATGCAAACTGTTGCTCGATGTTAGGAATAGGTGCACTTTTAGCGACAGCATTCAAAGTGAATGAAAAGAAACAGTGTGTGGAATAGGAAATTTATGTACATCAGACTTACCAGTTCTTATGTCGTCAAAACATGAGCGAGTGCGAATTAAATGTTATGTTCTAGACTCTTTAGTACTTTCGGATTAGGAAGAGGATCTTGAATGTTTACTGTTGGAGTACTGCACCTTTGGCTAGAAAAGAGAAAAAGAAGGTTATGCAAACGATTGCTGCTTTCAAAAGATTAGTTTATAATTTGCAATTAACAGCCAGAAACTAGGGAACCTAGTCTGAGGCCACTTTTTCGACTATTCTCCCTATTTCCTCTTACAGATAAGTGGGGAAAAAAAAAGTTTTTGCGTATTTACGCGGTTATAATTGATAGTACCTTTTTGTGTTGCAAGGCTTTCACTTTAGCTTTCTGCCTTATGTCTGAGCCCAGGGGAGGGACTGGCATACGGGCACAACCGGGGCTAGTGATAAAGCTCTGTCACTGCCCGCTACTCTGTTGACAGAGCACCACTCAGGACAGCGGTCATCAGTACATGGTGCTCCCCTTAGGCAGTTTCTTTCAGTCCCCAATGATCAGTGAGTGATGGACACAGGTTACCACACACACACACACACTTTGAGGACTGCATTACAGATCTTCCAATGCTAAGGATGGACACTGGAGACGCGAGAACAGGACATGCGGTAGAGCCGTTGCTCGGCCAAGATAGATGGGGAACATACCTCAGCCTTGTCTTAAGCACGGCTTAGTGGCAAGCTACAGTACACCTGGATTACTGACTGCCCGCTCTGCAGTCCTGGATTTCCCTTTGAGTTATTGTCCTTGATGTGAAGTATTCATATAAGCTAGAATATGGAAAATTTTCAGTTTGATGATCACGTGTTGTGTAGATGAAAGAATAGATCTGTTCCCTTTGAAGTAGGATGAAATGCCAGAGTGCCTAAGAGATGAGATGGACTTGAACCACAGTACAGTGCACACATGCAGTGAAGGATGGAAGATAGACTGGTGAAGAAGAAGAAGAGCACTAGATCAAGCATGGTAGTGATGGAGTAGGAAGGGGAGAAGAAGGTGATAGGAGCGAGTGAATGAAGTAAGAAAAAAGAAGTGGAGAGTGAGATAAGAGATGATTAGGGTTAGAAAGTCTAAAATGAATGATGTAAAGGAAGTCTTAAGTACGCGATATAGGTGGATAGAGTTGTAAATATAAGAAAGCTCTTTGAAGGGAAAATTAAGTGATAGAATAAGGTAAAGATAGAGTTACTAGAGCCCCCAGAATATTTATGGAGAAGGTTAAATAGCGAGATGAGTGAGGAATATGATCAAGTGGGAAAGCGACTCAAAATGTAGATAGAGAAAAAGAAAGAAGTTGTGTTGAGACTGACGGAAGAACAGATTAGAGTTGGGGGAAAGTGGGGGAGAGAAGATTCTTTCCCAATGGGGGGAGAAGGGAGAGAGAAAAAGATATAGGGTATGAGATAAGGAAGAAAGTTGATGATGAAAAAGTAAACGGGAGAGAGTGTGTTAGTTGGGTTTGGGATTTGAATGGTACATGAGGTGGATATGGAGAGGAGAGTCAAATTGAAAGCCTAGGAGAAAAGAGGAGAATCAGGAATGCGAGAGAGACTTTTGGAATGTTGCAGGTAGATTAGGTAGCAATGTAGAAACGTTCGATTGAGGATAGTAGAGTAAAAAGAAGGTCGTAGAGTTTTAGAAATAGAAATGCGTGAGAGGGGAGAGGTTTTTGGGGCGGTGTGGAGGGTGAGTTGTAGGGACGGAAAAAGGTGTGAGAAGAGAGAGGGCGACGGGAAAAGACAAAGAGAGGGGAGAGAGGAGTGATGAGAGAGAGTAAGTTTTTAGAGAGATAGCAAAATGA